TGGGTATGAAGGGTGTAAACCCAAAATGCCGACTTTCCTGCTTTTCTGATGCTGCCTGACCTGCTGTGTTCCTCCAGCTCCATACTGTGTTGAAACTTACACAGAAACATAGAAGATAGGAGCAGGAGGAGGCCATTCAGCCCTTCGAGCCTGCTCCGTCATTCTTCACAACCATGGCTGATTGTCCAACTCAGCCTAATCCTGCTTTCTCCCCATAACCTTTGATCCTATTCACCCCAAGTGCTATATCTAGTCGCCTCTTGAATACATTCAGTGTTTTGGCATGAATTGGTAATGAATTCCACAGGCTCACCACTCTTTGGGTGAAGAAATGTCTCCTCATCTCTGTCCCTGACTCTGGACGCACCCACCATCGGGAACATCCTCCCTGCATCGACCCTGTCTAATCCTGTTAGAATTTTATAAATCTCTATGAGATTCCCCCTCATTCGTCTGCACTCCAGCAAAAACAATCCCAACCTGGTCAATCTCTCCTCATCCGTCAGATCCGCCATCACCAGAATCAACCTGGTAAACCTTCACTGCACTCCCTCGAGGGCAACAGCATCCTTCCTCACAACAGGAGACCAAAACTGCACACAATGTTCCAGGTGTGGCCTTCTTTACTGCCTGCTGCACCTGCATGCTTACCTTCAGCAACTGGTGCACAAGGGCACCCAGGTCCCACTGCACACTCCCCTCTCCCAATTTACAGCCATTCGGGTAGTAATCTGCCGCCTTGTTTTTGCTTCCAAAGTGAATAACCTCACATTTATCCAAATTATGCTGAATCTGCCTTTGGTTTGCCTGCTCACCCAACCTGTCCAGATCATGCTGAAGGATCTCTGCATCCTCATCACAATCAACCTCCCATCCAACTTTGTATCATCTGCAAACTTGGAGATGTTACATTTTATTCCCTCATCCAAATCATTTGTATATATTGTGAATAGCTGGGGTCCCAGCACCGATCCCTGTGCAACCCACTTGTTACTGCTTGCCAATTTGAAAAGGACCCATTAATTCCCACTGTTTGTTTCCTCTCTGCCAACCAGTTTCCTGTCCATCTCAATACATTTGTCCCAAACCCATACAGTTTAATCTTGCACGTTAATCTCTTATGTGGGACTTTGTCAAACGCTTTCATAGAGTCCAAATAAACTAAATTGACTGGCTGCCCCTTGTCAACTCTACTACTTACATTTTCATAGAATTCCAACAGTTTTGTCAAGCCCGATTTCTCCTTCATAAATCCATGCTGACTCTGTCTGATCCTGCCACTGCTTTCAAAATGCACTGATATAAAATCCTTGACAATGGATTTGAGAAATTTCCCCATTACTGATGTTACGCTTACGGGTCTATAATTCCCCGTTTTCTCTCTACCTCTCTTTTTGAATATTGGAGTGACATTAGCCACCCTCCAATCTGCAGGGACTGTTCCAGAGTCTATAGAATCCTGGAAGATGACTACCAACGCATCCACTATTTCTAGAGCTACTTCCTTAAGTATTCTGGGATGTAGATTTATCAGGCCTGGGGATTTATCTGTCTTCAATCCCAACAATTTTCCCAGCACCATTTCTCTAATATTGATCTCCCTCAGTTCATCCCTGTCACTAAATGTTGCATCTTCCAACAATTCTGGTGTCTGATTTGTGTCCTCTTTTGTGAAGACAGAAGCAAAGTATGTTTTCAGTTCCTCAGCCATTTCTTTGTCCCCTATTATACATTTCCCCGTTTCTACCTGTAGAGGACCTATATTTGTCTTTACCAATCTCTTTCTCTTCATGTACCAATAGAAATGCTTAGCGTCAGTCTTTATGTTCCCTGCAAGCTTACTTTTGTACTCTATTGACAGTGAAGAAGGTTAACTTAGAGTACAATGGGACCTTGATCAAATGGGCCTATGGGCAGAGGAGTGGCAGATGGAGTTTAATTTAGAAAAGTGTCAGATGTTGCATTTTGTAAGACAAATCAGGGCGAGACTTATACACTTGATGGAGAGTGTTGCTGAACAAAGAGACCTTGGGGTGCAGGTTCATAGTTCCTTGAAAGTGGAGTTGCAGGTAGACAGGATAGTGAAGAAGGTGTTTGGTGTGCTTGGTTTTATCGGTCAGTGCATTGAGTATAGGAGTTGGGAGGTCATGTTGCAGCTGTACAGGACGTTGGTTTGACTACTTTTGGAGTATTGCATGTAATTCTGGTCTCCTTTCTATAGGAAAGATGTTGTGAAACTGGAAAGTGTTCAGAAAAGATTTACAAGGATGTTGCCAGGGTTGGAAGTTTGAGCTATAGGGAGAGGCTGAATAGGCTGGGGCTATTTTCTCTGGAGCGTTAGAGGCTGAGGGGTGACCTTATAGAGGTTTATAAAATCATGAGGCTCATGGATAGGATGAATAGCCAAAGTCTTTTCCTTGGGATAGGGGAGTCCAAAACTAGAGGGCATAGTTTCAAGTTGAGAGGGGAAAGATTAAAAGGGACCTAAGCAGCCTTTTTCACACAGAGGGTGATGTGTGTATGGAATGAGCTGCCAGAGGAAGTGGTGGAGGCTGGTACAATCACAATATTTAAAAGGCATCTGGATGGGTATATGAATAGGAAGGGTTTAGAGGGATATAGGCCAAATGCTGGCTAATGGGACTAGATTAATTTAGAATATCTGGTTGGCGTGGACAAGTTGGACCAAAGGGTCTGTTTCCATGCTGTATAGCTCTATAAGTCTAGTCTGAGGTGAGGTGAGAGTGACAACAGTTGATTTCGAGGCTGCATTCAACCGAGTGTGGTGTCAAGGAGCCCTAGCAAAACTGGAATCAATGGGTATCGGGGCAAACTCTCCAGTGGTTGTCATACCTGACACGTAGGAAGATGGTCATGGTTGTTGGACCCAATCATCCCAACTCCAGGACATCTCTGCAGGAGTTCCTCAGGGTAGTGTCCTAGGCCCAACCATCTTCAGATGCTTCATCAATGACCTTCCCTCCATCATAAGGTCAGAAGTGGGGATGTTCGTTGATGATTGCACAATGTTTAGCATTATTCGTGACTCCTCAGATACTGAAGCAGTCCATGTTCAAATGCAACAAGATCTGGACAATATCCAGGCTTGGGCTGACAAGTGGTAAGTGACGTTTGCACCACACAAATGCCAGACTATGACTATCACCAATAAAAGACAATCTAACCACCACCCCTTGACATTCAATGGTGTTATTATCACTGAATCCCCCACTATCAACATCCTGGAGGTTACCATTGACCAGAAACTCAACTGGACTCACCACATTAACACAGTGGCTACCAGAGCAGGCCAGAAGCTGGGAATACTGTGGCGAGTAACTCACCTCCTGACTCCCCAAAGCCTGTCCACCATCTACAGGGCACAAGTCAGGAGTGTGATGGAATACTCCCCACTTGCCTGGATGGGTGCAGCCCCAATAAGACTCAAGAAGCTCAGCACCATCCAGGACAAAGCAGCCCGCTTGATTAGCGCCACATCCACAAGCATCCACTCCCTCCACCACCGACGCTCAGTAGCAGCAGTGTGTACTATCTACAAGATGTACTGCAGAAATTCACCAAAGATCCTCAGACAGCACCTTCCAAACACAGGACCACTTCCATCTAGAAGGACAAGGGCAGCAGATATATGGGAACACCACCACCTTCAAGTTCCCCTCCAGCCACATACCATCCTGACTGGGAAATATATTGCCATTCCTTCACTGTCACTGGTCAAAATTCTGGAATTCCCTCCCTAATAGCATTGTGGTTAAACCCACAGCAGGAGGACTGCAGCGGTTCAAGAAGGCAGCTCACCATCACCTTCTCGAGGGCAACTAGGGATGGGCAAGAAATACTGGCACAGCCAGTGATGCCCACATTCCACAAAATGAATAGAAAAAGAAAAGTCACATACAGACCATCACACAGGACATCAGAACATAATCATCAGATAGACATTGCTGCAAGAATATCATTGCCATCCAGGGAGCAGAGAGAAGCACCAGACAAAGGCAGGAATGGTGATGTTCAGGTCTGTTCATCACAATGCACTGAAGACTTTAGAGCTGGATCCTAAACTTGTCACTGCATTCTGCCAGAACATCAATGGGCAATAAGCAAGATCAGCTGAAACAATAGACGACACCAGATTATGCCAGAACTGCATCGTTTCTTAGTTACCTTGTGAGATTTGGGTTTGGGTTTGATTCCTGTTTCTGCTGGTCTTTGGTTCCTTTCCCTGTTGGAGTTTGAAATTTACACTTTGAATTGCCCTTTTGTTGTTTGTGAACAGATTGCTGTCTCTTCTTCATAGAGTCATGACATATTGAGGTACGGACCTAAGGAATACTTTGGAAAAACTGCCCTGGGTGGACCTTTCCATGTCATCAAGTGAGTTTGAATGCTGTTTTCATCACTGAGACTCGCAGTGACTGAGTCAGTCCTGAACCCTTTGGGATAGGCATGAAGGCAATGTGGGACATCTGTTGGTGTGTTCCTGTCTCCACACCATTTTCCTGGTGTTCTTGGTCATCGAAATTAGGCCTGTCTGCTTGGCAACCTCAATAGCTAAATTGATTAATTATCTACCCATTTGTAGACTGGCAGGGGGCACTGTGGGATCTTCTAGTGATGATGCCCTTCTTCCACCACCTCAAAGAAGGCCAAACCTGATAGATCTCCTCCAGGCAGCAATCAGGTGGACTTGGAGACCAGCTCTTAGTAGATTCTAAATCTTAGAGATCTGGGATCTCAGAGGCAGCTGCCCAGATGGTGTGGGGTTCAAATTCAGAAATGGCCCCATTCCTCAATTAGCCTCAAGATTCCACATTCAGTCAGCAGTTGCAAACTGGGGAATCTGGTTATGTGTGTGTGAGAGGTATGTGTGTGTATGTGTTTGCATGTATACAATGAGAAAGCCAAATATTTGTGTGCGAGGGAGAGGATATATCTAGTCAGTGAGATTTAGGTAAACATGCCATGCATAGAGTCTGGAAGCATGGTTTGGGATTGTGTGCAGGGGCTGGGATTGTGTGCGGGGATTAAAATTATAATAGTGTCATATTACACAGACGCTTCGGCCCACCATTTCTATACCAACCAACAAACACCAAACACTAATCCCATTTTCCTGCACTTGGTCCATAGCCTACTATTCCCTGCTCGTCCAGATGTTTCTTAAATGTTGCAAGAGTACCTGCCTCCACCATCCTCTCAAGCAACACGTTCTATATTTCAATCACCCTCTGGGCGAAAAGATGACCTATAAGCACTTACTCCTCACTTTAAATTTGTGGCGTCTAGTCTTAGACATGCCTGCCATGGGGAAGAGATTCTCACACTCTACGCTGTCTAAGCCTGTCATAGTTTTGTACTCAATCAGATCCCCCCTCAGCCTCCTCTGCTCCAAGGAAAACAAGCCCAGCCGATCCTGTCCCTCCTCATAACTGAGACTTTTCATCCCAGGCAACATCCTGATGAATCTTCCCTGAACCTTCTCCAGTGCAATCGCATCCTTCCGATAATGTGGGGACCAGTACTACATGCAGTACTCTACCTTGGCCTAACCAATATTTTATAAGGTCGTAACATTAATTCCTTGATCCTATATTCTAAGGCCAGCTAATTAAGGCAAGCATCCATATGCTTTCTTCGCCACCCTGTCTACCTGCACCAACACCTTCAGGGATCTATGGACCTGTCCACCAGGGTCCCTTCGTTCCTCAGGTACTCCCTAGGGGCTTACCATTCATTGCGTGTGTTCCTTATTAGATTTCGCAAAATACATCACCTCACTTTTTAGGATTAAATTCCATCTGCCATTGCTCTGCCTAATTTACCACCTAATCAATATCAGACTGTAGCCTGAGACCATCCACCTCATTATCACCAACAACACCATGTCATCTGCAAACTTACTAATTAGATCTTCTACATTCACTTCCACATTGTTAATGTATGTAACAAACAGCAAGGGTCCCAGCACCGATCCCTGTGGTACACCACTGGTCTCAGGCTTCCAATCACAAAAACAACCCTCCACCATCACCCTTTACTTCCTAATTTCAAACCAATTTTGGATCCAATTTACAAACTTGCCTTGGATCCCATTGGCTCTCACCTTCTGAACAGGCCTTCCATGTGTGACCTTGTCAAAGGCCTTACTGAGACTATGTAAACCACATCAAGTGCACTACTCCCATCAATACATTTAATTATCTTTTCAAAAAAACTCAACTAAATTAGTTCGACAGGATCTCCCTCTAACAAATTCATGCTGACTATTCATAATCAATCCCAGCTTTTCCAAGTATTAATTAATTCTGTTCTTCAAATTTCTTTCCAATAATTTCCCTACCGCTGATATCAGACTAACTGGTCTGTAATTCCCTGGCCTATCCCTGCTGCCCTTCTTAAACAAAGCAACCACATTCACTATCCTCCAGGCATCTGGCACTTCACCCATGGCCAGAGAAGTATTAAATATCTCCACCAAGGCCCCACCAATCTCCTCCCTTTCCTCCCATAACAGCCTGGGATACATCTCATCAGGCCCTGGGGATTTGTGTACCTGTATGCCTGTTAAAACATCTAATGTCTCCTCCTTATTAATCTTAAAATATGCTAGAGTCTCACCATCCCAGCTGAAATCCCTGGCTTTATCCTCTGTGAATTTAGATGAGAAATATTCATTTAAAAGCTCAATCACATCCACTGGCTCCACACACAGATTATCCCTTTGGCCTGTGATAAATCCCACCCCTTCCCTGATAATCCTCTTAATCTTAATATAGTTATTAAAAACCTTGGGGTTTTTCTTGATCCCAAGTACAAAAGCTATTTTATGGCCTCTCTTTGCTCTCCTAATTTCCTCCGTAAGCAGCTCCTACACTCTTGTGTATTTCTCAAGGACCTCCCCTGTTTTTACTGGGTTGTATCTGACGTATACTTCCTTCTTTTTCTCTACAAAACTCTCAATCTCCCCCGCCATCCAGGGTTCCATGGATTTGCTGCCCTTGCCCTTCACTCTTAGAGGAACACATTGGCCCTTAATTCTCACTAAACTACTTCTAAACAACTCCCACTTTCTAAATGTAACCTTACCTGTAAGTAGCTGCTGTCTATGTTTGTCAGATCCTGTCTAATGGTATTGAAATTGACCTTACCCCAAATTAGACACTTAGCTTCCACACTATCTCGTCTCTTTCCATAATGACTTTGAAACTTGCAGAGTTATGGTCACTATTCCCAAAATGCTCACCCACCGAAACTCCAACCACTTGGCTGGCTTCATTTCGTAAGATTAAGTCCAGCACTGCTCCATCTCTAGTAGGGCTATCTATGTACTGGCACAAAAAACTCTCCTCGATACACTTTAAAAATTCCACACAATTCAACTTTCACTGACCTTTTCGCATAAAGGCAATCCCAGTTCATGTTAGTAAAGTTGAAATCTCCTATAACTATAACCCTGTTTCTCTCCCACCTTTGTGGTTCACATAGCTCCCTGTTCCTCTATCTCCCTCTGATCATTGGGAGGTCTGTTGTACAATCACAGCATGGTAATCGCCCCTTTTTTATTTCCAACCTCTATCCAGATGGCCTCATTTAAAGGCCCTACTACGACATCCTGCCCCGTTACTGCTGTAATTATTTCCTTTATCAAGAATGCAATGTCCCACTTTTCCTCCTCTCCATCCCACCTGAAATTTCTATACCCTGGAATGTTAAGCTGCTAGTCCAGCCCTTTCTTCAACAATGTCTCAGCAATTACAGCAACGTCATATTCATATGTGCTGATCGATGCTCTAAGTTCATCCACCTTACCAGTCAAACTCTTTGCATTAACATAGATACAATTTAGCTTTCCAGTGTTCCCATATCCCTATCCTACCTTGTCTTTTCCATTGACTGGACTGTCCTGGCATTCCTTCTGTATCTGATTGGGCCTTGCTCCTGACTTTACCATCTTCTCTATGCCCTGTCCGCTGCCTACACTTTATTTAGTTATTTCCTTTGCTCTGCAGTTTGTGTTCTGCTTTAGTTCATCATGTTTTCTACTTGTTTTATTTCTTGCACATTTCTTCTTCATTCTCAGTTTATTGTACTGTATCATACCCTTTAACTGTTTCACAGAACCTAGAATATAGAACAGTACAACACAGGAACAGGCTCTTCGGCCCACAATGTTGTGCCGAACATGAATGCCAAATGAAACTAATCCCTTCTGCCTGCCATTGGTCCATATCACTCCATTCCTTGCATATTCATGTGCTAATCTAAAAGTCCCTTAAATGCCCCTATCATATCTGCCTCCACCACCACCCCTGGCAGTACATTCCAGACTCCTACCGCTCTCTATGTAAAAAAGAACTTGCCCCTCATGTTTCCTTTGAACTTTCCCCCCCTCACCTTAAATGCATGTTTCACATTCATCCACTTCCTTGTCTCTGTTATGATGTTTTGATTTCTCACTCTACTGTCTCAACTGTGTTTCTCATTCTCTGTCGATGTGTCTTTTTCCTTTGCCAAGCTCTCCTGTATTTTCTGTCATCTCTATTTGATCTTTGTCCTAAGTTTCTCTCTTTGTTCTCACCCTCAGTATCTGCTACGGAGTGCTAGTATTGGCCGTGCTCGTGTTAAGACTGACATCAATGCCTGGAGAGACCATCCCCATGTCCTTTGCACTTATCCTTGCCTGGTGTAACCTCATGTACTTCGCTCGAGGTTTTCGCTTGATGGGACCATTCGCCATCATGATCCAGAAGGTAAATGACAAAACATTTCTGGCCTTACAAATTAGGGAAACAGTTTTCCTTGAGTATAGGAGTTGGGAGGTCATGTTTTTAATGGTAAAAAGTTGCAGCATGCTGCTATGCAGAGGGACCTGTGTGTCCTTGTGCATGAATCACAGAAGGTAGGTTTGCAGGTACAACAATTAATTAGGAAGGCAAATGGAATTTTGTCCTTCATTGCTAAAGGGATTGAGATTAAAAGCAGAGAGGTTATGTTGCAGCTGTACAAGGTGCTGGTGAGGCCACACCTGGAGTACTGTGTGCAGTTTTGATCTCCTTACTTGAGAAAGGATGTACTGGCACTGGAGGGGGTGCAAAGGAGGTTCACTAGGTTGATTCCGGAGTTGAGGGGGTTGGCTTATGAGGAGAGACTGAGTAGATTGGGATTATATTCATTGGAATTCAGAAGATTGAGGGGGGATCTTATAGAAACATATAAAATTATGAAGAGAATAGATAAGATAGAAGTAGAGAGGATGTTTCCACTGGCAGGTGAAGCTAGGACAAGAGGGCATAGCCTCAAGATTAGAGGGAGCAGATTTAGGACTGAATTGAGAAGGAACTTCTTCACCCAGAGGGTTGTTAATCTATGGAATTCCTTGCCCAGTGGAGTAGTTGACGCTACTTCAGTAAACATTTTTAAAGATAAGGTAGATTTTTTTTGAACAATAAAGGAATTAAGGGATATGGTGAGAACGCGGGTAAGTGGACCTGAGTCCACGAAAAGATCAGCCATGATCTTATTGAATGGCGGAGCAGGCTTGAAGGGCCGGACAGCCTACTCCTGCTCCTAGCTCTTATGTTCTTATGTTGGGTCTGTACCAGACATTGATGAGACTTTTGGAATACTGCGTTCAATTCTGGTCTCCCTGCTATAAGAAGGATGTTGTAAAACTTGAAAGGGTTCAGAAAAGATTTACAAGGATGTTGCCGAGGTTGGAGGGTTTGAGTTATAGAGAGAGGCTGAATAGGCTGGGGCTATTTTCCCTGGATTATTGGAGGCAGAGGGGTGACCTTATAGAGGTTTATAAAATCATGAGAGGCATGGATAGGGTGAATAGCCAAGGTCTTTCCCCCAGGGAAACGTAGAAAGCATAGGTTTAAGGTGAGAGAGGAAAAATTTAAAAGGGACCTGAGGGGCAGCCTTTTCACTTCAGAGGGTGATGCGTATATATGGAATGAGCTGCCAGAGGAAGTGGTGGAGGCTGGTACAATTACAACATTTAAAAGGCATCTGGATGGGTATATGAATAGGAAGGGTTTAGAGGGATATGGGCCAAATGCTGGCAAATGGGACTAGATTAATTTAGAATATCTGGTCAGCATGGATGAGTTGGACCAAAGAGTCTGTTTCCGTGCTGTACAGCTCTATGACTCTATAACACCAAGAGTTATACAACAGAGCTGAATATATGACAAAAACAAATATATTACAAGGCTGAATTTATAACAGGAACGAATATGTACCAGGAGATAGCAGGAACTGCAGATGCAAGAGTCAGAGACAACACAGTGTGGAGCTGGAGGAACACAACAGGCCAGGGGAACACAACAGACCAGGCAGCATCAGGGGAACAGGAAAGTTGACGTTTCAGGTTTACCAGTCCTGATTAAGGGTATAAACTGAAACATTGACTTTCCTACTCCTCTGATGAATATATACCAGGTGAATATCAACGGGTCTGGATATCAGACAGGACAGAACAGCAATTTCAAATAAACTATATCATTTCACTCATGAGCAAATCAAAGCAGTATTTGTGAATAAGCCATAAATATTGCAGAAGAAAACTATTCAGCCCGTTATGCCTGTTCTGATACTGGAACAATTCAAAGTTAACTTCCCAGCCCAACTCTCTCAACATAACCTTGTATCTTCCACAGGTTTCTATGTTTAAACTCATCCCTTAACAGATACAATGGTGTCTGCTTCAACCAGTTCCTACCACAATACTCTTGAGAAAAAAGTTTTCCACTCCTTAATTAACAAGGACACACTGATGAGTTGGGAAAGCAACCCTTCAATGCCTTTGTTTACTGAGCTGTTTAACCAGACGATGCTCGATGTTTCTCTAACTGCCTGAGAGAAAAAAAAGTTGTGTGGTGTTCAGGGTCCGCTGCAAATAACACTTTATTAAATGGAGGTCATAAAGGCAAGTCCAAAAGCAAAACTTGGAACACCATGTGCTGGGAATGGAGAGTTTGAATTATAAGGAGAGGCTGAATAGGCTGGAACTTTTTCACTGGAGCATAGGAGGTTGAGGGGTGACCTTATAGAGGGTTAAAAAATCATAAGAGGAATAGATAAGGCAAATAGCAAAGGTCTTTACCCCAGGGTAAGAGAGTTCAAAACTGGAGACCATAGGTTTAAGGTGAGAAAAGAAAGATCTAAAAGGGACCTGAGGGGCAACTTTTTCACACAGAGGGTGTTTAGTAAGTGGAATGAACAGCCAGAGGAAGTAGTGGATACAGGTACAGTTACAATATTTAAAGACATTTGGATCAGTACATTAATAAGAAATGTTTAGAGGGATATGGGCCAAACGCAGACAGGTGGGCCTCATTCAGTTTGGGAATCTTGGTCGGCATGGACAAGTTGGGCCGAAAGGTCTGTTTCCGTGCTGTATGACTCTATGACTACCTGATCTACCTTTCTGTCCCACTTGGTCCAGTCTGTCTTTGCAGATGAAACAGAGGAAGGAAGATCAAGGCAAAGAATCAGACCCTGGAAATAGAACCCATCTGATTTTTCTGTTCTTTCATTTTGGCATCTGTTGAGTCTTTAAAACAATGGACATCTGTGGCATGACTTCAAAAGTACTGATGTATTCAGTTCTGTGGCTTTGTTTATATAGCTGTGCAGTGGAATCTCATTATGAACGCTTGTCTGAGTTCCAAACCCCACGGATTTATTTTGCTCAACCGAGGTTGTTTATACCAATGTTAAGTAGACTGTTGGCTTTGTTTTGACTGAAATTCTGGGAATAATGAATAGAATTATACTTGTGCAGATATTTTTGAATATATTGTATTTTATTTCTCAGTTTCAAGAATAAAGATATTCCAGTGTTGTTATGGGTGCCCGAGTTCTGTCCATAGTGAACACTTTGTGAGGGACATGGTTGGGTTATAGAGATGGCTTTGGGCAATATAAAGAGAAGGTTGTGGAGAAGTCATGAGCTAGAGTATGTGAGGCTCATGTAAAGAACTGAGCCGATGTCCAAATGAATGGAGGCAGAACTTCCAAACTGCTGAACTTAGCATGCAGTCACCTTAACTCCTGTCCAAGTCTACTTCAGAATCCAACAGGCCAGAGTCTAGCCCGACCCCACTAGCCCAGCCTCGAGTCCTTTGATTCCTCTCTCAAAGATGAGAATCTGGGACAGGGCAATTGGTCTATCTCATTAGTCTGAAACCCAGCTTCATGGTAAGAAATTAACATAGACTCCCAGGGAGACAACGATGTTTCCAGGTTTGGAACCATCCTCATGGTCCAGGGAGGTGACAGCCAGTCCACATAAATGGCAAGGAATGTTACAGCAGGTCAGTTTAAATTCACCTTTTACCCACATGTTTCTTCTTTTTACACAGATCATATTCGAGATTATCCTGCCCTACTTGGTGCTGATGCTCATTCTGATTCTGGCTTTCACATGCAGTAAGCATTCATTCGCTCAAAAACACTTTGAAATATCTGACGGTTGTGAAAAAGCACGAGGCAAACTCAGGTCTTTATTTCTCTTTCGGCTGTTACTTTCCCTTTTCTATCAGTCAACAGATAGAAAATTGGACAGCACGGTGGCTCAGTGGTTAGCACTGCTCCCTCACAGCGCCAGGGACCCAGGTTTGATTCAACCTTTGGGTGACTGTCTGTGTGGAGTTTGCACATTCTCCCCATGCCCGCGTGGGTTTCCTCCGGGTGCTCTGGTTCTCTCCCACAGTCCAAACATGTGCTGGTTAGGGTGGATTGGCCATGCTAAATTGTCCCGTAGTGTTCAGGGATGTGCAGGATAGGTAGATTGGCCATGGGAAATGTAGGTTTACAGGGTTAAGGCAAGGGGGTGGGTCTGGGTGTGATGCTCTTTGGAGGATTGGTTAACAAGATGGGACTGATGGGCCAAATGGCCTTTTTCAACACTAGGGATTCTGTGAATGCTTCATTCCCACTTTTCTATCCCCTCTTCCTCTGTGTTTCCTACTCGTGCACGTGCGATGTGGAATGTTTGACGGTTGGCCTTCTCCATTTCCAGGCGTCCATCTGTCATTCCAAATCTTGGACCCTGCAAAGTGGGAACGCTTTGTGGATTTCAGCACCGTCCTCTTCACCATCTACCTCCTCTTCTTCGGCCTTGTTAACATGCCCCTCAACTGGGAGGTGATCCAGCCTGATATGGCCCGCTTCCTCTATGCTGTTTATACCCTGCTGGCTTTTGTCATCACGGTATTCCTTGTCATCCACATTATGGGTGAACTGATTCGCCGAGTGTCAAAGCAACACGATGACCTCTGGAGGGCACAGGTAAGAAATTAACATGGACTCCCAAGGAGACAATGATGTTGCCACGTTTGGAGCATTTGAGCTATAGAGAGACGCTGAATAGGCTGGAGCATCGGAGCCTGAGGGGGTGACATTATAAGAGTTTATAAAATCATGGGGGGCATGGATAGGGTGAATAACCAACGTCTTTTCCCAAGGATAAGGGAGTTCAAAACTAGAGGGCAGAGTGTGGAGATAACACAGTGTGGAGCTGGAGGAACACAGCAGGCCAGGCAGCATCAGAGGAGCAGGAAAGTTGACATTTCGGGTTGGGACCCTTCTTCAGATGCTGCCTGGCCTGTTGTATTCCTCCAGCTCTGCACTATGTTATCTCTGACTCCAGCATCTGCAGTTCTTACTATCTCTGGCAGAATGTGGAGTTGCCTGTGTTGAACTGGGGTGGACAAAGTCAGAGGTTGTACAACACTAGGTCATGGTCCAACAGGTTTATTTGAAATCATAACCTTTCAGACTGCTGCTTCTTTGTCAAGTGAAGTAGGCAAAAGTTTAAGGTGAGAGGGGAAAGATTTAAAAGGGACCTAAGGGGCAACTTTTTTATGCAGAGTGTGATGCGTGTATGGAATGAGCTGCCAGAGGGATTGGAGGAGGCTGGTACAATCACAACATTTAAAAGGAATCTGGATGGGTATATGAAAAGAAAGGGTTTAGAGGGATATGGTACAAATGCTGGCAAATTGACTGGATTAATTTGGGATATCTGGTCGGCATGAACGAATTGGACCGAAGAGTCTATGACCAAGGTTACTGCAAAGGGAGAAATGAGCCAGGTTTTCCACCTTCTATCACTGTCTACCTACTGACCATGTACACAAGCTTTGAATAGTTGATGATTAGCTCTAACACACCTCACCAACGCTCATTCATTGTACCAGCAAGATAGTTAATAGATCTAATTTCCAACGTCAGAAAGGTGGGCAAGAGAATATTTGAGTTGAAAAACATTTACAAATCCCTTCCTCAGAGAGTGTATCTGCTACTTTTAACAGGAGTACTGATGAACTAAAACCAAGTGATGTGGCATTTTGAAATTTTCAGGAAGATGTCAAGGTTGTCTTCCTGGTTTCCTAATGCTCGGAGCACGAATTCAGATGCCACTGTGGCCCTGTTATGAAAACTAGTTTAATAAATTTGTTGCAGAGCAAAATCACAGGGGGAGGTAGTCTAATCCGGAAGTCATTCCATCCTAGCTCTTGAAGAGAAAAACTCCCTCTCCTCTCAGAATGCTGGAAAGTACAGCTTTCCCAGCCTGGCTCATATTACAAGAACACGTTTTTAATAAGTCCAGACATTTTGTATTAACGCTGAGACCAAATTGATAAAGCTGCAGAAATTAATTAAATTCCCTGTTGTCCTCAATGCCAGTGAGACATATTGGGTGGAAGGGAGGATTTGTTCAGTATGTCCATTAAGTCTACCCGAGTAACTACAGTTTTCTGGAGATTGCTGCAATTCTACAAGTTGATGAACAATTAGTTCATCTGTATAAATGTGGTGTCATTGTTAAACAGGCAAAGGGAAAGGTTAGGAGAACTACTTTTGTATAGGGGCACTTTAAGACCTGAGTGTTCCTTCAGAAACAGCAGGAAAATACAAAATCTGGTCAGGCATTTGCAGGAGAAATTGGATAGACCTTTCAAAACTTTGGGGCAGCACAGTGGCTTAGTGGTTGGCACTGTTGCCTCACAGCACTAGGGACCTGGGTTTGATTCCACCCTCGGGTGACTGTGTGCGTGTGTGGAGTTTGTACCTTCTCCCCGTGTCTGCGTTGATTTCCTCCGGGTGCTCCGGTTTCCTCCCACAGTCCAAAGATGTGCAGGCTAGGTGGATTGGCCATGGGGAATTGCCCTTAGTATCCAGGGATGTGCAGGCTTGGTGGGTTAGCCATGGGGAATACAGAATTACAAGGGATAGGGTAAGGGAGTGGGTCTGCCTTTGAAGGGTCGGTATGGACTCGATGGGCCAAATGGCCTGCTTCCACACTGTAGGGCTTCTATAAAAATGGAGTTGAAATGACAAGGCAGTAGGGTGTCCATGACTATCCCTTTCAGAGAATTGGCACACAAAATGCTGGAGCAAATGAGGAAAGGCCAGCTGGATTGGAACACAGTGCATTGGTCCTGTTGATGTTGTTAGCTCATGTCAATGACATTGCCAGCAATCCTACTGTGTAATGTTACTGCTTAGCATGTCCTCTGCTTTTTACTTCAGTGGGAATGTTCATTTGTCATTAGTTAGCATTGATATCAAAATAGTCACGAGTGGAATTCAATATGTACTTGTTAGGAACCTGTACAATCACAGTACAAAATGTAGTTCCTTGTCTTTGCCACTATCCCACAGGGAATCAGTTATGCTGTTATTCCTTTTCTGTCCACTGCCCCGATGATTATTCCTCGGGATATGATCACAATGTTCAGACTGGAATATCACCAGTGATGGCCCCCAGTACTGACCCCATTAAAGTGGAAGATCACCCTGGCACCCAGCACATACAGACATTCTGGCACCCACCCAGTATTGTGCAATCAAGGTGTGCTGTCCCTCTTCCAGCGCTACCCATGACCTCCATCCTATGACTGATCGATAGCATTCTTGACAATAGTTGACTATGTGGAGAGAGCAGATGTTTCCCACATTTGGTGGTGGAGCTCATCATCATTCATCTGGATGCAAGAGCTTTTCATCTCATCATGGTCCAGCAGGGTTAATAGATGCTTCCTGTTCCAGGCTCTATCCCCAGTTACCTATGACACTAGAAGCAATGCAGAAGCCTCTGCAGGTTGGGTAGAGGAACTGATGAAGGTTTCCATCTCCAGTCGGTGCTAATGCTATGCTCCATTTGAAAGTGAAGACCTTAGATTTGGATCAGATTGAAACCCAGTTACCAAGCTGATACAGATGAAACAGTGTTTTATTGACACTTGACTTTTGTTGTTAAAACTGTTTCCTTAATTCCAAGGTTGCCTCCACAACGCTACTGCTTGAACGTCGACTCCCAAGATGCCTGTTTCCTCGTCTGGGAATCTGTGGAAAGGAGTATGGACTCGGAGACAGCTGGTATCTCCGGTGAGTTTGAAGAGAAGTATACAGATGGTCTACAGCGGTCCAAGAAGGCAACTCACCCCCACATTCTCAAGGACAATAGGGGCAGGCAATAAAATCTGGACCAGCCAGCAATACCCACGTCTTATGAGTGATTAAATAAAAAGACATACCTTGGCAAACACTTACATGGAGAATGCCCAGAAACTCACCACCTGAAAGATATTTTTTGGGGAGGTGGAGGGGTTTTCCTGACTCAGCTTGTCACTTCATGTTAAAGTCATCCTTTGGGTTGAAGAGGAGAAACTTCTCAGAACTAAACTGAAAAGATTTAGCCCCAAGAATTACAGAATTAGAACAGTGCAGAAGTTGGCCATTCAGCTCATATATGCCTATACTGGTTCTATTCCCTAGCGCCAATCTCCTGCCTTTTTTGTGTATTCCTGCTCACCATTTCTACCCAACTAATCATCTAATGACCTTTTGAATGCCTGAATCGAATCTGCCTCCAACACATTTCTAGGAATTGTATTCCACACCGTAAATACTCGGTGAGTGAAAAAGTTTTCCCTGGTATAACCTTTGCTTCGTTTGCACATCACTTTAAATCTACCCCCTCTTGTTCCTTTTTCTTTCACGAATGGGAACAACCTCTCCCTAACTATTTTGTTCAGCCCACTCCTGATCTTGAAAACCTCTGTCAAATCTCCTCTCAGCCACCTTCCTCTCTGAGAAGCAGTCCCAACGTCTTCAGTCCATTCTCATAACTAAGATTCCTCAACCCCGGAACCGTTCTTGTAAATCTATTCTGCACTCTCACTGATGTGTTCACATCTTTCCAAATAATGTGGCTCCCACATCTGTACACAGTGCTCCAGCTGCGGTCTAACGAGAGTCTTCAACATTAAGAATAGACACCACGCATGTAACTCCCAACTTAACCTCAACACAATCGGTGTGCTTCTCCGGTTGGGCGTTGCAGGCAATGATGGAAAATTCTTAGTCTGATAGGAGTCAGGACTGGAGTAGGGTGGCCCAGATTTTACATCCACATGTTGTCCTCATTAACCTGCTGGCCCTGTCTTCGCAGTGTGACCTCGTTCATCTACTTCCTTTCCATAATGGTTAGTTGCAAGCAACAGGGCATGTGAGGAGTGGAGAGTGTAGCATTGTCCCTTCACCACCAACACTCCAATCACTGCTCACAGTGTTTACTCCCAGCACTACCTTTTCCTTGGAGTCAGACAAATTAAGCTAGAATGTACTGGAGAAACTTGACAGTGTCTGTTGGAGAGAGAGAGGGACAGAGGTACATTTCAAGTCCAATGAGACCTATAATTTTCTACCTGTTGTTCAAGTAAGATCAAACCTTTCTTTTATTCACTCATGGGATGTGGATGTCTCTGGATAGGCCAATATTTATTGCCCATCCCCAGTTGCCCAGAAGTCTGTTAAGAATTACCAAGGTCTTTTTCCTAGGATGGGGGTGTCCAAACCTAGAGGGAATATATTTAAGGTGAGACGGGAAAGATTTCAAAGGGACTTGAAGAGCAACTTTTTCATACAGAGAGTATTGCTTGTATGAAATGAGCTGCCAGAGGAAGTGGTGGAGGCTGGTACAATTACAGCATTTAAAATGGATGGGTACATGAATAGGAAGGGTTCAGAGGGACATGGGCCAAACACTGGCAAATGGGACTAGATCAGATATCTGGACGAATTAGACCAAAGGGTCTGTTTCTGTGCTGTATGAATCTATGGCCCTAAGAGTCAACCACATTGCTGTGGGTCTTGAGTCACATGTAGGCCAGACCAGGTAAGGATGGCAGTTTCCTTCCCTAAAGGATATTAGTGAACCAGAGGGGTTTTTCCCGATGATCGGGGATCATGGTCATCAATTGACACTTAATTCCGGGGCTTTTTTTAAATTGAATTGAAATTCAACTTTCTGCCATGGTGAGATTTGAGCCTATGGCCCCAGAAGATTAGCTGAATTTCTGGATTACAGGTCTCATGATTATACCACTAGGACATTACCTCCCCATTTACTGAGCTATCTTCTGACTGCCTTAAAAATAAACTTAACTGAATTTTATTTAGCCAATAGTATGTGAGTTTTACAGATGGGCATCTGACCTTAGCCCTTATGCATAGACAAGTCAAGGAATTTAATAGACAGTTACACTCCCCTAAAACCATCAAAAATGATGGTGCAGTTATTCCAAAAGCCCGAATACTCCTGGCAACTGTGTAGGCTGGAGCTGTGCACCATGGCACGATGGCACCATGGAAACATCTAAAGACAGCTGATGCCAAGGGACCTTCCAGGTAATGCCATTACATTTCCAACCCCTGAAAAAGACCTGTGTTGTGAGGGATTTTGGAGGGCATCAACTCACTTAAGTTTAATAATTATCCAGGAAAGGTTAAAGGAATAAAAACCTGCTCTAATTCTGAGCCTCCACAATGATATTCCAATGACACACCTCCCCCTGAGAACTCCTACACCTCCTTCCCCCACAAATAACCCCGACAGACACAACATGTAGCCCTCACCTGGCACCTTCAAACTGCACCACCACCCCTCCATGGCCCTGTTTCCTGTTAGACCCACCTTCCCTGCCAGCCAGCTAGACCCAACCCTTCCCCCACTGGATCTGGTAAACTTTCCCTGAACTGATCCTTCTACCTGGCACCCTACACCCTCACCCACCTGGCACCCTACACCCTCAATTATCTGGCAC